CCTACATAGTAGCACTTGACTTATGAGGGAAAAGGTCATTTGTGAATAGTAATAGATGTTTTGTAATGTTATGACACTTTTTTCTTGTATATTCTTTGGGATTTCAATACACATAGATCCAGCTCAATTAAGAGTCATTGTTAATCTATTTACAATAGTTACAATCATAGGAGTTATGTTGTGTACATCTGTTAATCAAAATAGATAAGGAGTAGCATGTATTGATGCACCAGAATTGAGTAAATCCATCATTTGTGTATAGGATTTCTTGTTAGCTATGATTGTATTTGTAAATACGTTAGTACATACCCAGGAAACGTATTGTTCGAATTGTTTGTCCTGGTTGCTCAGAATAAGAGTGTAGGCATTATTGTTCATTTCAACATTACCTTCCTTTAATCCAACATTGTTTTTGTTTGGGTTTTCAATAATAAATGTGTTTGTTGTGTTCTCTACAGTTTGATTCGTTTTATACACAATGTTTGCTTGATGTTTAGTACATGCAAGCTTTGTAGCTTCAGTAGGAGGTTTACAGCATTCCTTAGAGAAATGTCCTGTTTTTCCACAATTGAAACATTTTGCTTTTGTCAGATTGAACAGATTTGGTGGATTGAATTTTCTCTACTTATTGGCTTTATACATTGTATTAACACATGCATTATTCTTTGTCTGATCATTGGAATCTTGTGCTTGTTTAGCACAGTAATTGTTGTAGGTGTTCTACAATGTAAGGATTAGTTACTTCAGTTCAACTTTCTTATGTTCATTAACTAGTTTGCCTTTGTTTTGGGCATCAGTAGATTGTATTATTGTATTTACTATGTGTGTATATTGCTCAGGAGTAGTAAGCAATATTGCTGCTTTGTATGTAGAGTCACATAGTGGATCACTGTTAGCAGACAGAGTAGCATATGCTTCCTCAAGTCTGTCTAATGTATGTCTGAAATGTTTTACATGGTCTCTACAAATAAACAGTGCTGATTCGTCAATAGCCTTTTTACATACTGTCTGAGGGTTAAAGCATTCTTCAAGCACTTTCATTAACTGAGGGATAGATGTATCAAAGTGTATATAGTTTGCCAATATTGTATCAGCAATGTTATTAACTATGCATGCATGAATGGCCTTAGCCATCTCCCTCTCAGCTTTGTTCTGCAGTTCATCCTTTAGTAAGTGTTTGAAGCATGTAGCTGTAACACTAGAAACAATACAGTAGTGCCACATCTTGTAGTTTGCTTCAGTCTTAAGCATTGTAATGTTTTGACTGAAGTATTTAGGTACATTGGCTGGTTTACAGTGTGTATTGGTATGTGGGGGAACCATGATGCAAATGTGTGCAAATGTATGCAAATAAAGAGTTTAGAGTGTACAGTGGATGCATGTATGCAGGGAGCTCAAGGCTCATAACCTGTTGAGAGGGAAAACTTAAGGGGGGCACACATAGACAAGGGGTGAGGTGACGATTGACTGCTCAGTGTCTCTCGTCCTTATATTGTATGTATTCTAACTGAGACATTATGAAGTCATTGTCTCGTGGTTCGTCCGTTGATGAACTAATCATCTCATAATAGTCCTCCTCAGGAATCCCTGTGCATCTTCTATTGATTAGAAGTGCTATGGATACTAGGAATAGGGAGTGACATCCCCAGTTTCAAGGGTGAATGTGGATCACAATCAGAGTTATCTGCTATTTGCTATTCATCATTGTGATAGTGCACCCTTCTGAACCTGTTTATTACTGAAGTAGTACAGGGCGGGGGCTTGGAAGTCCATCGGCGATGATCTGTGACGAAACTATGAAAGGTCTTAAACTCGAATTTGTATGGAAATGGGCCACACATCACAACATCAAACTTCTAAGCACCATAGTCGGTGGCGTTCCAGACATATCATGTGTTCAATTGGATGTAAGAGAACAAGATTTGAGATGTAGCACATGGAGTTTGATGGAGGCCAAGGGGAAGGTTAGGAGCAACCATATTGTGAGTAAGTTCTTGATTTCTTCATCCTCGGTGCCTGCAATGCCTACTATTTACCATTTGTTGTTGTTTGCTACTCGGCTTTTGACTATATCCTTATCTTTTTATCCTTCAACCTTTTTCCTCGATCATGAACTTGACATCTGTTCATTTCATCGTCCCTTCGTGGCACTTTGACATTTAGACATCTTGACACTTTTTTGTGAAGTGCCATACATACAATTGCCATAATTTTTTTTCATCCTCCTCCTTTCATGCAGTTTTATGAGTCGTAGCAATTTCTGCTTCGCTGAGATGGTGTTTGACGAATGGTGTTTTGATGTGCTGTGCTTTGACACGTTTTATTTTTTTATTTTGTTAGTGTTGTTTTGGCATTGCCACAATGCTATCAGCTTTCACGATGGCTTTGTGTCCATTCTGATAGTGATACTGGACAGTTTGTTTTTCTCTTGTCCTTCTATCTTTAAGTTTATTTACAATATGTATAGCTGATAGTTGACACTACTGTTAGCAACCTTCGATCCTTACTGCCAATACCAACTTGAATACCATTCGTGGCATTCGATGATTCAACAAGTATTTTGTTGGTCCTTATCTATTTGATATCCAGTTCTTGGTAAAGTTCCTAGCTACGAAAATAGACGAGTCGCAGAAGGAAAATCGTTGGGCAAAGTAAACCAGGTTTAGAATTTCCCTTTAATTTGCTAGTGCTACACTATATTAATGCTCGAAAATCTTCGGCATCAACTTACGCCAACTCCAACGGCGCCGAATGGGATGATATCGACTCCTTAAGTTCATTTAACCCCCCCCCCTCACTGCCACGAGTCGTTATTCGTGCATATAGTAACTGTGGGCGCTTAATAATGTTAATGTGGGCACTGGAGAACGAGAGGACCGAGTGCTCCTGTTAAAACTGTCTCGATTAGGGACGGTCAGTTATGCAGTTGTGACTCGATTAATGCATTGTTATACATATGTATGTATGTAGATTTTGGCCTCTCATTTGAGGCATTAAAGTTACAAGTAATATAGATATATATCTTGCACGTCCTCAATAAGCATGATTATCAGTACTGGGTCAATGCTACACCACGAAACCCCATTCCTTGTTGAAATTCCTAGCGACAAAATAGACCAGTCACGGAAGGAAACTCGTTGGACTAAGTAAGCCAGATCCAGACTTCGCCTTTTATTTGCCACAATATTATTATTAAAACTCAATACTCGAAAATCTTCTTTATGTCAAGCTGTCATCACCGACGACCCCGAAGGGATGAGATCGATGGTTCACCTCTCTAAACCCACTTTTTCAAATGTTAAGTTATGTTATTCATACATTGAGCGCCCTTTACTTTTTATGAGTGAGTCAATGCGCTCCGGAGAGCAAGACGACCGAGTGCTAAAGTTAGAAGTACTCTGATCAGAGACTGAGTACTCAGTGACATGCTTGCTTTTTTAGCCTCTCATACGCTTTTCTAAATCTATGTATAAGTGTGTGCATGGCCTGTGTTCACTAACCTGTGGCCCTGGTGCCCCACTAAATATCAGTCCCTCATTTTTAATTTATCAATAAACATAAAATCCCGACAAATGGTAACACCACTCCTTCTTACTGTTATAAACTCTGTTGTGTACGAGAGTGAGGAGAATCTTCGTATGGAGCTATCTCGGAGGTGAGCATGGACCGACGAGGCTCACTATTATTGGTAATTAACGCTTGTACAACTATCAACAAGAATAGATGTAAATGATAGATATAAACATTAATTAGTGAAAATTTTCAACAGAATTCCGTTGCATACATATAATAAGGTCCCTTCCTTTCCTTTATTGATGATTTGTTGACTTTCTTTGTTATTTCCATGCATGTTACAAATTTGATATATAGAGATATGTAAAATTAAAAGATAACACAAGTGCTAATACACAGTGGCTTTATGGGAATAAAACCTAATAGATACTATAGACAACATGTAATAATGCATCCTCTCTCACCATACTGCTCCTTTGACATATTACTATTATTAGTAATCAATCACATATATTCCCTGTATAGTGACCAGGTATTAAATCGTACAGGGCTGCAGTGGTTAAATTCTAAGTATTGGAAGTATTCACTAAAAGGATGCAGGCTGTAAATGCACAGTATGTAGGTTAAGATACTGTTTTATGGACCAACTCAACTTCGCAGTCACATGAACGTATTACAAGACAGCTACAATTTATTAATATTTCTGAAGGGACCAAGGACGACATCTAAACTTAATGATAGCATGTAGCTTATTCTGTTCCACATGGACGTTGGAAACCAGGTCCCTGGTGATTGTGTATTGTCTGGCAGCTGCTTTGCTAGTAGTCGGCTTAACCAGCGGACAATGAAGCATGCACGCACAATTAAGGTTAGGATCGCCTCACCAGAACCGTAAAATGACAACTTTAGGCACTCTCTGATGCCCGTGTAATCTAGCCAAGGGTCTGCTTTTCATAGGACACGGGAGAATGGGCATACCGAACCTAAATTTTGCACAACAATGTCCAACAATTGAAATACCGTCCCGCATATGAAGACCTCGGGTAAAGTTAATCCTGAAGAAAGAAGTAAAAGGGAGGATAGTGGGACGCAGGTAATAAACAATCTGCCCACACTTCATTTGGGAATTTTAGTGCCTTGAATTTGGGAATAAGAGAATCATTGTGAAATGTGTAATGTTCGCCATGGGTTTCAGTGCCGCTGTTCGCTTTTACGTGTTGTAGTTGACAAGTTCTCATCGATTTCTGTGGTGCTGGCCAAGAGGCACACCCATATGGTTAGCAAGCGAAAGACTTGCCCAATGACGGTGTCCAACTAGAAAGCCAATAAAATAGTTGTTCGAACACGCTTCCACAGTCGACCACCTAACCCTAACCCTTTATCCACAGGAGGTTTTTTGGTAAGTCTGTGGAAGGTAGAGGTGATACTGAGTTCCGAAAGATTCTAGGGCTTGGGAAGAGCAGAAGCGAGGTACTAAGTCTCTTTGCGGGTGAATTCAGCGGACTAGAGAACTTACGCTTAGATTTGTAATGCCTTTGGGTCCATCCCGATCCTGAGGCAGTAGTTTCCTGAATCCCAGTCTTGACTATTCCTGGAACGCATGGAGAGATCACCACCGGCTTCGGGCTAAGTCGTACTGAACGAGCCTGCGTGCGCATCGACATCAACGATTTGGGAAATGTAGTCTTTGGTGATTGAGTGCGAACAGGCATAGGATTTGAACTCCGACTCCAAAGGCTGATGGATCAAAGCAGAGGATGTAACCGAAGATGCTTCAACATTCGTTTTAAAGCATTGCAGCACATTAACGGTACAATAGAATACTGCTGCAGCCCTTCCGGATGTACGATGCTAACTGATAGTCTGAAGATGAGGTGGATGGAAGAAAAAGATTATGGTCGCGTATTGATATACACGTGGTCCTGCTATTTGCACTTATTTGTTTTCTTCGGCTGTCCCTTCAAGTTCTTCGTCGATAATCAGAACCATCAACCTGACTTTGAGTACGTAGATACATAAGGTAGGCGGCGAAGTAACATCACACCCAGAACCTTGCAAACTCACGCTTAGTCCTGTTTAAACTTATTATGCTGTTTAGACATCAAGTAGTCCTTACGAGACCGAAGGACACATGTTCTGCACAATCCGTCGCGCTCACAAACATCATTATTTTTACCGAGGAACCTCACTTTAAAATAGTCTCGCCTGCAGCCGGAAGGATCTCTGAACATGGAAATCGCTTTCCTATCCCGACGAGCGCTGAATCCCGTCAAGGATACAATGCGGCGATGCTAACACCCTGTGGAAGGATCCTACAACGTACACCTCGCTCCAAGAGCTCCTATCATGGGAAGAAACCGAAACTCCGCTCATTCGACAGCTAAAAGTATTGGAAAATCAGTCGAGGTAATAGCGGACTCTCATGACTTCTTGAAGTGTCTTCGTCTGAGTAACATCCAAGGAAGATGCGGGACCACGGCAGACTTAACTGCTCGGGCCATGGGCAAAGAGCTGTATGCGAAATTCAAATCCTTCAAGAATACATTTACTCTACCCGACAAATTTTCAAAAAAGCAACGATCTATCCGTAACCTGAACAACTGCGGAGAAAGGCTGGTCTGCTCAGGTGTCTTCACCTTTGTTTCCGCTGGAGTTTCCGCCAATAACGATATTGAATTAGGGCTCTCCAACTACGAAGCTGATGTGAGACTCGGGCTTCACACTTTTATGGTATTATCCTTGGGAGCAATATCAAGTATGCCATTTCCTTTCATCTACTGAAACCAGCATCATCGGCAACTAGTTGCGCCGTATTTCCCACCACTGATGACCTGGAGGTCCAATGGAGCGCGTAGCTTCTTTTCGGGACACATGCTCGCCTTCTCTATTTTATTAACGGCATTCGCGAAAGACACGGAGCCGCAGTCTCCTATGTCACTGGATGTACGTTTCTCATTTGTCACGGCTTAAATTTTTTGCTACCCAAAATAATGCATTGCACAGTGAAAGCTTGGCATATGTCTGTACTCCAGTGCAATGTGACAGGTGTGGCTAGCTCAGACCTCGAAATGCAGGAAACTTGTTGCTCCAAGAGACCTATTTCCGCGAGAGCTACCCAAAAAGATACTATGAACATCATTTTGGATCCATGCCTAGTGCTAGTCTGCGCGCCGCACTAGAACTTGCGAGGTTTACACGGCAGGCGGGAACCTCAGCATAAAAATCAAGTCCAGTGAAGTGATTCTCGAGTAAGTCGATTTGCTTGTGCAGAAAGATTTTCACTACGTTCACTAGGGCCATACATCGGTCCGAAGTGACAGGGTACTTGCCTCTTCGTTTGCATGACAAGTGCTCATGATGTCTGTCTGTTAAGTTGACGGGCGCGATGTGTCACAGCTTGCGTCCGCATACTACGCACGAAATGTTTACGATATTGCTCTAAACGAACTAATCGCGAACTAGTTCGGTCTGTAACGAAAATTACCTGTCGTAAGTATTCGGCGGTAAAGTATCTGCGAGAATAGTAACACAGAAATAATACTCTGCAGATTGGCAAGTGGCACGGAAACCCACAGTTAACCTGCATCAAAGGCGAGTTTTCTTATATTTACAGTAGAAATTGTCTTATTGCATAGCATCACAATGCATATATTGTATAATGCATAGACTTTTGGCCAGACCAAAACTCAAGTTCTCAGCCAAAATGTATTGTCATAATGCAGCATAAATTGTATAATGCATTAGGTTCAGCCCTCTCCCAACATTATGCAGTAAGACAATTTCAACTGTAGAGAACTCAGTAACTGGCTATACACCCTGTTAGAGGGTGTTGAGATTTCATAGTTCATGTCTTTTACAAAATCCCAAGGCCATCCAGTATTCAATTGTCTAAACCCATTGACATCAACTGAGGATACACTGTCACAGACTATTCAGTTTTGTCGATTCACAACAATAAAAGTAGGGGAGTCATTCCTAGTGTGTTTTGAATACATTCACAGATTGCAAGGATTTTCTTTCCACATTTTTGCCGACTTCGAGAACTACGTCATGTTTTGATCGCGCCATAATAGGAGTACCTCTTATAAAGCACTAGTGTTAACGACTTGTCCTTTATGCCTGTGCTCACTAATTCAAATAACTAATCTTGCATACTGCTTACCTTTTTTCTATTCAATTACAAGCTTTTTGACTGATCGTATTTCTCGCGCCATGCTTGCTTGTATTGTCAAGTGTCTCCACTTGTTACGTGTGTTTTGTTGTCCTATGCACTGTCGTAGACATCACGGTCTTCCAAGATCATGTGCATTTGTGTAAGTTCGGACACTATCTCCGATAAAAAAAGCTTCTTTTAGATTGCTTCCGACGATACCGGGATGCCGCCTTTTGTCCTCCTCAGGAGTTCATATGCATCTTGAGCCATCTTCCATTGGCTGGAAAGTATTATGTGTAGAAATAAGGAGCGGCATCTCTAGTTTGACTGATGGGTGTGGATCATAACGAGAGTTATCTGCTATTTGCTATGCAGCAAAAATAAAGCACGCTTCTTAACCTTCCCGTTACTAAAGTAGCACAGGGCGGAAGCTTGGAAGTCATCGATGATGATCTGTGACGAGACCACAACAGGCCTCGAACTCAAAATCGCATGGAACGGAGCCACACATTATAGTATCAAACTTCTAAGCACCATGGTCGGTGGTGTTCCAAATGCATCACGCGTTTTATTAGATGTAAGAGAACACGATTTGAGATTCAACGCACGGAGGAGTTTGGTGAAGGTCAAGGGGAAGGTTTGAAGAAACGATATCATGACCAGGTTCTTGATTTCTTCGTCCTCGGTGCCTGCCACAAGTCAACCTTCGTGCTCCATTTCTCCCTCACGTAATCAGACTTCTTTCCGACTTCGGCGGCATTTACATTGAGCTCCAGTGGATGTGTGTGTCGAAGTTGCAGGCGGTTTTGCCGTCAGCGCACGCAGCTTATTGCGTTGGCGGCGGAGTTCGTTCATCGGCGGAGAAAACATATCATTGAGTTGTTCTAGAGAAGCTTTAGAGTTCGAAACAGAGAACTGTATTTTCTTAAAGATGGAACGTTTTTGATAATTTCAAGAAGATTGATATGTTCGGCCAAAGCCAGACATTTCAGGCGATTTAATTTACTTACGTCTTTTTATGTAGATTAGTGCTTATCGTTTGCTTGTCAATAAGAAAGTTAGTCTTTAGCTCTGCTTCGATTCTTTTCTTCATCATCTTCGGTTTTGTGTTCTCCAATGGGAAGCTTTGGAGTGCTCAAATAAAATGCTTCACTTTAGTGCTGATGTCATTGCAATATTTCGCGTGCGATCTGTGAGAAACAGTGTCTACGATAGATGCCCGATTGGGATCATCTTTAAGACAATAAACCAGAAGTAAAGTATGAGAAAGTGCAGTACATGTTTGACGCATCTTAGGATACAGACCTATGTTGACTGTTGACTGCAGGGCATCTCGCGTTGGTCCTCGTGTATAGCCAAGCATTTGCATATCTGCGATTGGTTTGTCACCAATGAGATTTCCCTCAGACAAGTGAAATTGCATTCGTACCCAATGCCTTTGAAGAAACCAGCCTATGGCAATCGCTGACTCGGGATTCACTCTGATTGGTCTTCAGATATATAAGCGTTCGCTTACTTGCTATTGGTCGGAGACACACTCCTATAGGAGATTTTCACAGCATTAATTTAAATCCTAATTGTCCAGTTAGATTTGGACCCTGCATAGGCCAATGAGAGGAACAAGCCGTATGGTTCCCACCAAATAAGGATGATCAGCAAGAAATCATGTCGCAAATCGACCCGCGATCTTAACGTACCTTTCAGTCTTTAATATTTCCTGAAAATTTCTCTCTGGCTGTCCTTGTCTGTCAGAGCTCAAGGCCAAGTCTTTGAATCTCGTGAAGCCTCCTTGACGCAAGATCTGTGAGTATAACTTGTGGGACGAGTCTCTGGCCCTCTAGCCTTGCCAGGTTCGGTGGTTGAGGCGATCCAGATTGCATATGACGTTCAAAACTAAGCAGGGTAAGAATGGGAGGCGCTAAAGGAGCCAATTAGATGAGAGATCGATAAACAGTCAGCGAGAGGGCGCCTCTTACCTGTTCAGCCAACCAATGATATGCATGAATTAGCATAAAAGCTAGGTCAGGTTGATGATGTGCTTCGAACAGTGCACCTTTAGAAGATATCATCAGAAAAGACAGACAGTGCGGATTTAAGAATACACACTGATGTCACCTGTCCTCTGCACAGTCCAATCGCGAAGGTGTATAAATGATATTAAGCGTCAAATTCCAGACTCTTCTTTGAATACAATCATCCACGCGTTGCTCGATCTGCTCCCGAATTAATTCATTTCTCGTCACGGCAGAAGCTGGGGCGGGCGAGAGGCAGAGGCTTCGACATGAGATTCGCCGAAGTGATGAGATCTGGGAGGATGTGGGTGCAATTAATCGGCGCTGATTCAATGCCTCTGATAGGATAGGAAGAAGTTCGGGACAGGTAAGCTCTGCATTCAAACAGCTTAATGCGCCAATGAGTGGGAATAGGGCAAGATGCGACCAATCATAATGCAAAAGGCCAGAGCCAATAAAATATGCTTGAGAAAGGTGTGTGAGCTGACCAATAGACGACGTAGGATGAACGGGATCGATGCTTCTGCCAGTGAGCGCCAACATGTTGTAACTCCGTTTCCAGCTGGTGCAGTCCAAGTCTCACAGCAATACTTCTCTTTATCTGTAATTTGTCATAACTTTGTTCTAGCTTCATGTCCGTTGCTGCTGGTGTCCTCCTCCCCTCCCAAGTGAGCAATAAGAAGAGCAGGGCACGACAAAGGGACACCCACGTTCATTAGTTTTGCAGGCCCTGTGCCTAGGCAATATTGGTTTTAGGAGTGTCATTCTTTCGTCTTGCCGCGTGCTGTGCTGAACATTGTCCTAGACCAAGTTCACGATACAATGTTGTCTAATGCACAAGGTTCTCTTTGCCAAGCTTTTTACCTCTCGTTGCTTGCGTCTGCATAAGCCATACAGTAAGTCGAGAAAGGCGAAAGATGACTCCTACGGGAGCTTTTGGATTGCTTACTGATTGAGCAAAAGCGGAAAAGCGTCGATCCGGTGCCAGCCGTCGTCAACCAGTGGCGTTCGTCTTGCCATATCTTCTGCCATCTTTAGCGCTCCTTTTTCCTGATTATAGGGAGGCTTTGCTTTTGAATTTCCTTTCGTGGCGTCCTCTCTTCGACCGTGTCCGTGACAGGCAAACAACTTCGCCCTTCAGAATAGGTAGCCAGCCGTTGCGTTTTCGATATATGAATGCCACTTGTGCGATCCACGACTCAGCGATTGATATTCAGCGATCTCCGTCACAATGGTGCTTCGTGATATAGACCAACGCCATTTTAGGAGATGTATACGGTTGTGATATGCTTTTTGACGGACGCCCACGTCGGCGACAACGTGAATGCGACAGAAATTCGAGTACATATGTCGACTGCACGCGAGAGTCCCACGAGAAATGCTGAAGCTAAAAACGCAATTGCTTACTTGGCATCTGTTTCCGTCTTGGAAGGTTCGATTTGGATGAGTCGCAGACAGCAAGATGGCGAGTGAAAAAAAGTGTACTTCTGCAATTTCCGAACGGTGAAACGGCTTCGGTCGCGGCTCGGAAGACCGATAACGCCTGCAGGGCCCTCAGGACGATGATTTTCAGCGAATCAATTCATAGGATTGGCAGCGGAGTAAAATTGTTGGGTCCATATGCTATGTGGTCATCGTGGGTAAAGTGCCATCAGGTGCTCCGGGACCAACAATGAGCGATCACTCGGTCAGCTAATCGAATTGACCGACTTCCTCTCGGAGACGGAGGCAAAGTGCTCTCGGGCACCGTCCAGCACAGTATGCAGCCCAACTAGCCGAGAGGAAGGACCGCTAGGCCCAAGCGGGGAACTCTGATGTACCCGCACCAACGGTACGGACAGGAGGCAAGAGACGAGAATTCGAAACCTTGTCTAGTGCGGGTGGGTAACCTTCATTGAATATCAATATCAATACTAATATCATTATGCCATACCTATTTCCGTCTGAATCTTATTGATCCATTTAGACTGTTCAGATGCGAGCCTCTCCGTTCATGTTCCCGGTTTCTGTTGCCTTTTCCTGCCATTGTGTTGGGGACGGGTGATGACTGATCGGTTCTGATGTGTATACTCCCTGCCTTGTTCGGTTTCCGATCCAACTCTTCTGATAATGTGGATTTCCTTGTCCGACTCGACTTCGCTCTACGCCGCCGACTGCACACGACACAGCCTTATACGGTCACTTGTTCGTGTACACGTACAAGTGCCAGAGCAGGCAATAGACGGCCGGTAATGCTATTGGATATTGAGATCGGGATACTGGATGCCGTCATTCCGTCGTGAGCTCATTCGCTCCCAAGTCCCCGAGCTCCCAAAAATGGGCGGTCGCCTTCATTCGGCTCACACTCCCTCTGACACCACGCGAATCTAGGAGAAGTACACGCTGCCGATGGATAGACGACCAGATCAGCGAAGCGGTGCCCCGAGGAAGGCAGACGTGATTACGTGCGTCTGCGGAGAAATATAAGAGCTTTTCGAGGACCTGTTAAAAGTGCCTCTGACACAGACTAACGCCATCGTTGACTAGGTACTCTCGTCACCCGCTGCTCAATGCTTAAAACGCCATCTACCCTCTAGTGACCGCATACCGCATTGCTCGCTCCCTCTGGCAAGTGTCGTCATTGCGAGACACTCTCACCTTGTTTCCTGCGGAACAACGTAAAACATTATTCTCGTATAATCTGCCTAGTGTCCTTCATCCCATATTTAGGATCAGTACTGTTTCCATCGTGCGCCCACTAAAGGTCATCGTCCCACTATGAACGCCCACTACACGTTTCCAAATACCTCCAACGTGTCCTCTCCGAACTCCATCTCTCCTCCATCATCTGTATCTTCGGACTACACATTGACTCCCAATCCTCCATCACCTAGTTTTCCGGGAGAGTTCGACATGCTCGAGCAACATTCACTGCATGCTCAGCAACCTGGCTATGCGCAAGGAATACGCAGCACACACAACAGCGATCTTTATACTGCGCTTCAATACCATTCATCCAGTCGCGTTCCTAGTCCCGGCTCAGCAGTGCTCACGGACTTTGACTTCGCTAACTCGTTACGCACGATCCGCGGCTCGCGCGGTGACGACGCGGAACCGAGCTCGGGAGACGGGCCGACGGAGAGTGAAGCAGCAGTCGCGGAAACTATTGTTCGCGCTCGCAAGAGTTGGAAGACTGTTAAGGGCCGTTCGGAACCTGTATGGCCTCCACATCTGGAAAAAGCACTTGTACAAGGTAGGTTTTCTTCTCTTTGTTCCCTTAATTTCCCTTTGAGTGGCTCTTGCCTCCGCGTGCTTGTGTTTGAAGAGAGCCTTAGTTCTCCTATTTTCCTGAATGTACGAACACATTGTTCTGTCTGATTAACCTTTTCGCACGTTTGCAGCTCTTCTACAATACAAACCGCACGATTCACGTTATGCCCGTGCGTTAGGCCGTTTCCCGAAGCGCAACCGCTACATCTCCGACTACATTTATAACTTGACTGGAATAAGGCGTAGTCCAAAGCAAGTCGGTAGCCGACTTCAGCAATTGAAAGACGTTACCTGTGGGAAAATGCGTGGGTGTTAATTTTCTTTCAATTTTTCGTATTGATTTGCATGAATTACGATCTGATGGTTACCGATAGTCCTAAATCACGTCGCCAGCTGGTCACTTGCGTCCACTCCTTCCATGAACGATGCAACTGTGTCTCCAGCTAGTATTCACCCTAATTTGAGTGATATCATTGGAGACTCCAATGACCATGGGTCAGGTGTGTTTAATCTTATCATCGGGCCTGTTATTAGTTTTCACTGATGAAAAACTCTTTCTTAATTTTCTTCGTGTTAATGCTCTTCCATTTTCTGACTACTTGACCGCGCTGGTCGTTCTCGGATTACTGTTTATTACCTATCACTCGCCAATACCTTGGATTCGATCGTAACCCCACTAAACATGGCCAACAATGACTGTCTATGCATCAATACGACCCATTTTCATTACTGTTCTATTGCGCACTGGAACGTGTACGCCAACGCCACCACTTCAATCCCGACTGCTCATTCCACCGACAATCCTAATTCTATATTCCCAATCTCCTCCGATACCCCTGACTGCAATTTCAAATGCCATGATCCTCCCGCGCGGTACGAAACATGAATCGAAAACGACGCAACTCGCGCTCCGAATTTTCTTCATTCGGCGTCCCGCCTCGATCATTGCGTCTTCCCTCGCGCTCTCTTACGTTGCTTCCTATGGATATTGTTGGATACGATAATTTCACGACGTCGGACTATCGGACAACGACCAACAAACGCCACAGAAGGCTCACTGTCCCCTGTATCCCCGCACCCAGGCGCGCGCGAAGCTTCGTTGATGGGGGTGGGTTTGAAGCCGTACAGTAATCATTCTGCACTATACCTTTCCTCTGCCCAGATACGAGGCGGTCTGTCCGGATCCTCCGCGCCGAGTAGTCCGTTCGATTCGCCACCGCTTACGCCAATGGTTCGCACAATGAATGTCATTGTTCCCTTTGATCCTACGGACGACGGGGGTGGCAACAAGGGCGCTGCGAAGCGAGAGGAGCGAGTGTGCCCTATTGTACGTTTTGGAGGGTGTCTGGCGCTACCTGAGACAGTATTCGCGCTAGAACCTTCTAACCCGCTGCAGACACTTGGAAGGACAGAACCTCGTTCGACGTTTGTTTCCCGCGACCCCATCCCCGCGCAGAGCGTTGCACGTGTGTGGGTCCAAGATACAACTGGTACTCTTCACTCGCCTTCCAATCCCGTTCCATCCCCCACGATCATGCAAGGGAAGGGGTTATCTGGGTATGGGAGCAGAACGCTGGTGAACGAACTCAGCGAGCCGCTTGTTTGCACCCAGACTCCTGCTGCTCGTGCAAGCGCGGCACAGACGTCATTTTATTCCGTCGACAAAATATCCGCGGGGCGCGGAATCAAAGATGCAGATGACCGCGAATGCTTCGTATATGCAACGCGTCTTGTAGACGTTCCGACATGGCGTACGATGCGCCGCGAAGGTAGTACGTGACCAACCGTTTCTCCTCTCTTTTCTGTAGCCCTCTCGCTCATTTTCTTGGTTGCAGGCGGCCTTAGCAGGTATACGATCACTCAAGAGTTAATGCACAGTTTCAACAGTGCGAACACGAAGCGTGGAGAGACATTCCTCTCGATCACGTATCACTTCGTTCCAATCTCACAGTATGGCATGCATTCGTCGACGCTCTCTACACTCTCACCGCTGGATATGCGTATAATCAACTACGGACATGGTCATGCCCATAGCTCGGTCTCTCCCGTATCTAGTAGTTCCTCATCACCTCTCAGCGCAAGTCCTTCTTCAATGGTGCCTTACTCCCTGCACACCCGACAAGTATCGAGGATGCATAGTTATGGCCAAGGGACATATGCGCCCCACGACCACATGTACTCTCAATCTCAAGCATCCAGACGAGTACCGGAGCTTTCTGTGGTGCCGTCACTTCCTTCCATCTCCCAATCGGAGAATCTGATGAACTCCGTGAGTTGACAGTTTCCGCATTCCCTCGACATGTAATTCTTGCAGCCTGCTTATTCATTAATCAGTTCAATCACGACACATATTATACTTCTCCTGGCAACCCCGCATCCGGATCGTTCTCTGGTTGCAATATCGACTTCAATGGTCTGGATATGGTCAATTTTAATTTAAATACTCATACGGACCTCGATCGCCCACTTTTGTGAGCTCGGACTATTCTTCAACTTTCCTTCATCAAGCAGATGCCATCTTATCAATGTAACAATATTGTTACTGCTATTTTCTATGCATTTGTACGTTCACCATTAATTCGAGAATTGGTCGAAAAATAGGTTTTCTAACTATGGCTGTTTTCAGATCCCTTTAGAGTTCAGAGGCGCTAAAATCCACTTGTCCCAGGCCTTGATTGTTTAGCATGGGAGATTCAATCTCCCTTGAACGATAGGCGCAGAGCAAGTGCTCACCCGAACTCGCCTCAGAGCACCAGACCTTGTTCTCCACTTTCGTATATAGTTTATCCTTTGCATTCCGCTATCATTTTCCGCGATAATGATTGATTCCTTCCACATACGTCTGCCAGTGTATTCTCGAAAACCCGTGTTCCTGTGGCCGCGGACGTGAGGCTAAGAACGCGTTCAAATTGTTCTATTGTAGCCGCGAGCGCCCCACTTCTTTTTTGCTGTTTCTTGTGTTTCGTCGCCTCACGTTGAGGTAGGTTCGGGTCATTACTGGCAATTTTGTCGAGTCTTCCCTTGTTGTGGCTGCATGCTTCGGCTTCGTTCCGCTATGGTCGCGGTCAGCTTCGTGTGAGGTTAACGGCGATCGCAACAGATACCGCGGCTCTTCTCGTCCTGCGCAATAGCTTCCTCTCCTTTGTTGTACATGCTATCACTCCTGTCCTTCTCTTCTTGTCCTGCTTCGTGACCTCTCAGCTAGTACCACATCACGACTTTATCCGCATTTCCCTACGGCTCCTCGTAATCAACTATATGTCACCTGCCTCGTTTTTATTCACACATAGTGTAGCTTCCTGATCTTGATACTTGATCTGTCCGTTGCCTCCTATCTCATGCTAATTCTGGACCGTCATTCGCGGCGACCTGCTCCAAGTTCTTTGTCTGAACAGTTATTTTGTCCATTTTCTTCCTTCCCGCAACATCTAATTCATCTATCAAACGATTCTTTTCACACATGAATACATCGTGCCAGTCCGCCTGACGCGCTTGTTCTCATTGTTTGCTTGCAGCACACCACCAGCTGACGCTGTGCTTCTCGAATGTTTATCCCCAGCGAATTGTTGGCGTTACTCAATCCCGGATTTCTCACTTGAGAAACAGACCATCTGTTTGTTACTATTTGTCGCCGTCTATACAGTTTATGTCATCATCTAATCACACACTCCTAATGAACCACACTTCCACTGCTTTTTTTCTCAAATTCTCAAACACCATCTAATCTTCGATTCCTTCGCGCTTCGGGGCCTATAGTCGATGTAAAAGGCAATCGGTGAGAACGGAAGAGGAAAACTCCATAAACTACCGAAAGAGGCTTGACCTATAAACGGTCCGTTTAATCAGATTCAGAGTCTCGGCACGGATTCGCACTGAATGGATCTTTGGGAAAAATTTCCCGGCTTCAAGTAGTCCGAATTTGGTAATAAAGCTAGATCGGAATCAAAAGAGTTTCGAATGCCTATTGGCACATTCAAATTCGATTGGAGATGCTTATTGTCTGAAACCCTGGATACCAGACCAAAAGACTATCTGGCAAGTATTTTATTTTAATTGCCATGAAATATATTAACATGATTAAATACTATAGCTTCTCTAGATTATTAAATTGAATTACAAATAAGCGGATAGCATGGCCCCGCATTCTAGCCTCATTCGGTATTCGGAAATTTTCTTCGGAACAGTATAATGCCTTACAGGGCTCTCTGTTGCATGTTGTTTGTTCGGTTGGTCCATATGGTTGCCCTCACAGCCAATGCAAGTGTTTCAAGCCCACGCAGGCAGCTTGTCAGGCCTGGGACTAGTGTTTTTCAGGAGCATAGCTTGGCGACCTCTCTGTATTCGCAGATCCAACTTCCCCGAAGCTGAAGGATAAATTATTGTATGTACATGCACCACCGGTACCACAGTCTCCGTGGCACCACACCATTCAGGAATTAATGAGAACAGAACCAGCAATGAGAACTACTTGGGGAGGGTACTTGCTTAGGCTGTTGGTATGCAACGCCTGAGAATACTGCTTGAGGGGCACCGAGAAAGGAAATGACAGCTGTCGTCAGTCGTGCACTCGGTCAGCCACTAACACGTCTCTTCAACGTCTCCAGTAAATTGGAGAGGCCTGTGTGTAGGTCTGCAATGTCACAGTCGATGCGGATTCCCTTTGCACGTACAGGCCGCAGAATGGGGACAAATCGTTCATCGCTGAGGGTGTCCTTCCACTCCCACCCACAAAGGACGATACGCTCAAGCACAGGCAATCTAGTTCCTTCGCTATTAAGACCCTCGAAGTGTCCTTGTAGCAACACCCACCAGCGAGGGTCCTTGTCCATATGCTTACCTGCCGCTCCGACGTACAAAAACACCTGCCGCACAGAAAATGCAAAGAAGAGGGTTTGGGGGGCGTTCCTACTCAACGGCCGCGTCGTCACCACAGGGATGTAAAGTTCGGTTACAGTCGGGCAGTAACCTAGGATTGCCGCCACAAAGTCGTGGCGTAAGAAGTGGGGGTCAGGTCCTATCTCAAGGGTTGTTATTCCATCAACCATGGGTGCTAGACATCCCGCAAAGAAGTTGTTTATTGCGTCCGGACGAGCGATAAAGAGTCGGCGGATGGAGGGGAGTGAGATGTGCTCGCGCCGTGGAAAGATACTGCGAAATGTGTTGGTGGAGAAGATTCCTAGGGTGTGAAGATTCGGTAAGTCAATAATAATTTCCTGATCTGACCTGTCCGTATGTATTGGAAACTCGTCTGCACCGATCATAAGGACCTGTAGAGAGTGTGAATGCCAGATGAACCGCGGAGATGGGGCGCTCGCAAGGGGGGTATTGAAAGGCATGTTATGCCAGTCTACTCGCTGCAAAAAAGGTAAGTCAAGATCATCGAAGGGAAATCCACCTGTCAACTCATATTCGCAGCCCCCTCCATCTTCCCTATCTTCTCGCAGTCTTCGAAAATGAGAGATAGCGCGTATATTCGGGCAGCACAAGAATATTCGACGCGAATTCTTGTAAATTGAGCGGCGGGTTTGACGTGATTCCCCTCCATCGTCCAGCGATATTGTGATACGTTTTACGTATCCACAAAGTCCGGGGTCTTGGCCGTTCTTCGACACCTCGAGAGCCGCTAGCAGGCCGTCTGAACCATGATTTATCCAAATATCTTCGTAAAGTAGCTCTAGTGATAGTCTTCTAAACAACGAGCAGACTAAAGGTAGAGTCGCTTTCGTTCGAAGGGCCCCCCTGCATTCTTCAAACACAGTGGTGGAGCATGCAGATTCGAAGGGCGTCCAGGTACCTTGCGACTCAAAAGGTCTTGCAGGGTTGTCAGTTGCCGCCTTACAGATTTCAATTAGGATCTCTGTAGGCAGATCGTTGAGTTGCACCATGCGGAGGAGAATTGCTCGGCTACGGCTCGGAGATGATTCTAAACACCACCTGTACACTACTTCGTGGCTATACAAACTTGAGTCGAGGCAGAAAAGTGCGAGCCAGGATGCATGTCTTCCTAATGTACAGTACCCGTTGCACTTGCATTACGAAATTGCAAACAAACGGACTGCGGCTCCATGAGCAAAGTATATTGAGCTGATCGCGTAAACTGTACATTTTGACGTGCAAGGATCCTCATTCCATTCCTTTAATACAGCGCTACAATTCTGACTGGTACTCATTTGGTGAGGTGAAATATTCGAAGTCCGACGACTTCACCGTATTAACCAAATTTTGGTAAATAATGCATTTTGTTATTAATGGAATTTCTAGTTTGGGAAATAACACGTGATTATAAAAGCGCATTGGAAACAATAAACAAATTTACAAAGTATATACAAGAATCCCAACTCAGCAATTATTACAACCCTATCGACAATGTAGGTGTTTTATTTGTAGGACAATGTTACGTTATCCAGAGAAATCCATCTCACGCTGATTTGGACTGCTCAACACGACGGCCCTAAAATACCAGCCTAGACACCAAACAACTTCTAACTCTCCTCGATCAAACAGCGCAGGCGACTCCTATCACGGCAGCTTCCCGATGAACTTTACTTGCACCGGAATTGTCGGCTGCTCTCTCCGCGCCAACCCTCTTCTCAAACCGCGGACGGCCCGCTCACACTATATGTGCGAGTGCATTGGCATGCATTGGTTGTACGGATACCAGCTTCCCTGCGTCAACGCGCTTCCCACGTGCGTGGCGTAAGGATCCAATAATGTAACTTGCGTCGCGGATGAGGAGTCGAATTCGGGGCCCATCCCTCTCAGTGGGGATACGGGGGACTGCGAACCTTCTGTGGCGGTCGATGGGAAGATTCACAGAGTTCATTTCAGTCGATCGATCAGCAGAAATGCCGTCGCAAGCACAGATGTCACGAAAGAAGACCAGATTCGAGCGATTTGGGGTCATAAATCGCAATGTTTCGCGTCGAAGGGTCGAGACGAGGATGGCCAGAACCCGAGATCAAGTTATGCGATGAGTAAATTTGGAAGAGGTCGCAAGGCCGCGAAAGTGGCGTTGGAATTCCAATGTGTAATAGAGTAGTTAGGATGATTTTGCAATTCAGATAGATAGTCATGAAGAATAGACAGTGTAGAGCAAGCCCCGTGATAAAGCGGGTGTTACGTTGAGCAGAGCGTGAAAATTAATAAAAGCAATTGCCGCAAATCAGTTCACAGGACTACGTGTTTAACCTCGAGGAAAGTAACGTACCTGATTTAAGCGTTTGAATCTCGTCAACCACAGAATCCATATTATGAAGAGCATTGGAACAGGGAAGCGAAGAGACGTCATTGACGGAGGGCGACGTGGATGGAGTGGGCGACATCGACCGACTTGCAACATGATTTAGGACTGCAATATGGATAAAAATGCATCAGTTAGTCCATCTTTTCGTAGTAAATCCACTTCAGCGGGAGAGTAAGGAGAGGAGAGGAAGCAAAGTAAGGAAATAATTCCAGTCAGAAAGCAAGAGACTTGGTATCGGTGGTGTTGACAAGGTGGCGCAAAAGCTAAACGATTGAGTAGAAGACACTAGTACTCACGCATCTTTCCACAACTAATGTCCTTTAACTGTTGCAATCGACTGCCGACTTGCTTCGGAGTCCTTCGTACACCAGTTGTTTCAAATATGAAATCAGAAATGTAGCGGTTGCGTTTCGGAAAGCGGCCTAAGGCTCGCACGTATCGCGAATCTTGCGGCTTGTATTGAAGGAGGGCTGCATACAGACACCCAGGCATGCCGGTTTGTAAAACAGTACGAAAGCAAGAACAGACAATACAGAGAGAGAGTTGATGTTAGTAAAAATATGTGTGACAAGCGTATAGCTATGGACATACCTTGGACAAGAGCCCTTTCTAAATGCGGAGGCCACACAGGCTCGGAACGACCCTTGATTGTCTTCCAACTCTTTCTTGACCGTACAATCGATTCTGCAACTGCTTCCTCGGATTCAGTGGACAATGGGTCTGCCTCCTTATATTCGTTTCGCCTTTCTTGTCCTTGTCCTTGTCCAGCGACGTGCCACCTTGTTCCAGAGACTGGTTGAAGAGAGCCCTCGCAGTCAGAAACGGAATTGGCTGGTGATAAATGAGGAGTGATATTATATTGAGCGCGACGGCTGTTATGATGGGTATCCATACTTCGGACAGGGTGATGCATGTTGTAGTCTCTTGGAAATGTCGGTAGAGGTGCGTTGTGGGTGGATAGGAGGTTAGGTATGGGAACCACGGATGGGTATGTAGCCTGGGAGGGGTACTCCGGATAGGGTGGATAAAAGGCGGTTGGCATCGAATAGTGTGTATTCATGATTAATACAGAAGCTGATGCCGTTGTAGACCGTTGTGGAAGGATAAGGCTTCCGGAGTAGTAGAGAAGTGCGGGATTAAAAGCAAGCGCGACACGTTCGACGAATTAAAGGCGCAGACAGAGAGAAGTCGGAGGCAGTTAGGATATTTGAGATTTACTGTTAGAAACACGCAGATAGCATGTTAAGCAACGATGGGGGTAGGGAATATTCTGTGGAAGCCCGAGTCGTTAACGCATTTAATATCATTGCTTCCTACCCCTCAAAGCCATTCGTGGTTCGGCCTGCTAACTGCCACGGACAAGTTGTGGAGATGTCGGACTATCCAGGGCAAGTCGGAAGCGGATTATGTAAATTCGGGACCAGCTGAAGAGCAGTGGACGGAATTACGGCATGGAATGGTAGATTGTTGTCTGGCGGCGGTGCCAGAAAGAGGAATAACTCGGGTCTAAATTGAGAAAGAAACGATGAATGACGAAGCGAAAGAGAGGCGGGGATCAATTTCAGATTTGAAACTTACTCTCTCAGAAGATATCATAGTTCCAAAGTCTTTTCCAGCTGGACAGAGGTCGAAGTCTCCGCCGCAGAAACAGAGTTCAACCGCTGATGCTTCCTGTCATTGATACGGAACAAGCAGAATCAAACGTTGATGAAATCACAATGCTATACTGTTCCTTACAATCTTATCCAATACGGCGATTGAGTTGCCTACATTCCGAGCAGTAGGCACCGTTGATCGCTCTGTTCGACGTTGCTTGTTCGTCCTACACCTCACCACACTAGCTTCCGAGGTTTCCCCGGGCACACTCGGGCTAAGTTGAGCTCAATGCCCGGCTCCGTCGCTCATTGAGAGGCATCAATTGGATGTGTATTTTCGACTCGAAATTTTCCGCCTCCAGTGGCTTAGGTGCTCTGCTAATCGATGACATACGATCATACGGTAGACAACGGTTGCTGCGACCAGGCGATATCCACCATCCGAGCCGAGGCCGAGGCCCGGCTGGCAAATCGTCTTTTTATGGAAGCTTCCAAGACAGAAGGCAACAATTGAGTTTTGACCCTCTGCCATCTCGACCTTGTTAGGAGAGAGAGATTTTCTGAGGGACCACTCAGAAAGCCAATCTGTGTCCATAATCTATGACCTCTGGTATGATGTTGATCTCATGAATGGTTTTCGCGGCGCGCCATCATCTCAACTGCCCAATCAACTGGGCGACACAGATGGGTAAACCAACAGGCGGAAAACGCAGACATAGAATGCGAAGTGCGCAGAAAAGGGAGAGGCAACATGATGTTGCTAATTTGGCGCTGTCGTACGCGGTGGCGATTCCTATTGGTTCCGGAATTAGTCCCAGATCGACGACTGTTCCATAACTAGACGAGAGACCATCTCAGCTCGTTCAATTCTTGTCTCCTGTCCTCGACTCTTCCCATTTTGTCATCATCAGTTAAGTATATTTTCGGAACGGCACAATATCTTGGGAATCCAGATTCGACTTGTATTTCGAATATTGCGGTGTAGAAGCAGCAAATTCATTAATGTTCACCAACAAAGTCGATGGATGGCGGGAACTCGAACTCGCTTCGGCCGTAAGACGCATAACGTCTAAAAGGCTCGGAAGCTTCGGAACGAACGGTGCGCTGTCCACCTTGCTGTGTAGTTCGGACCACACAGCCGTATGTGCAGCTCCCGGCCGATGTGAGACAGGTAGAGAACCAGAACAAACAAGAACCACGAGAAGGTGGAAGGGAACGCAGTACTTGAAAGATGGACTGTGGTCATGCGGGGAATAAGAAAGGCCGTGAGTGTCGGTTGCGTCATTACTAGCCACCTTTTGATGCAATATACAGGTGTAAAAGGTGTGCATTCCAATGCAGAACACTCTTTACTCTTTACGGAGGTGGAAGTATCGTAATAATCTACCCCTTTGCCATGAGAATTTGAAATTGCTCTGACGATAGGTTTGTGCTATTGGATTTCTGCAGCTATTATTCTATTGTGACCTCTACGTACATGGTCCCGCCAGAAGCGCCTAAAGAATAAATACATTGGCCTCATGCTCTGACATCCATCAGGAATGCTTGCCTTGAAACAATTTCAGCACGCCCATGGGAAAAGCTCTTGGATTATGATCTACTGTATTCACAATTTTCAGCCTAACAGTATGGCTACATGCGCTCATTCTACCTCTTTTCATCTTGTCCACAGTCGCCTCATTCTGTACGCATGCTAGTGTATCATCTTTGAGAATCCATTCACGTTTCCAGCTAGGTAAAAGTCACCCGAAGCCACTTCACTATATTGCTCAATTGCTCGATTGCTTTGTAGAAGCTTTCTTTCTACCCTAACCCCCGTTCTTGAGTCTGAAAGGTGTTCCGGGAAAATTGTCACTACAAAGGAAACGATAACGAGAGCTATCGGCTTTAGCTCCATCTGGAGGGGAAGGTGTTGAACACCTGTGGACCTGTTTCTAACTCAGAAATAGCTATATATATATATGGGCGGATCTGATCCGAATTAGATTTACTCAGGAACGGCGCTGCAGACGCTGTTTCTGGTGGCTCCTCGTTTCGAAGCAACTTTTTCTGATTCTCCTTCCAGAGCCCTTTAGCCCCTGTATTCCTTGTGGCATCAAATAGCGAAGCAGACGACGCTGATATCCGGCAGATGAACATAAGGTGACTATTCCTACCAAGCTCTGCACACAAGCTTGATTCACTCGGATAGTATTGTCCTCTCAGTATACCATCCCTCTAAAAGCAAAGTGCAAAATTTCATTTTCATGTCCAATGACGTACCCCTGCCAATGTAGACTTCCGCATGTTGAAGACATGTAGATTGAAGCACCATTCTACCCGAGAAGCCAGGCATTTATGGATCTTGATTCAGTTTGTAAGATTCGTTTCTCGGCTGATGACCCCTCTCTAGTAAAGTCTTGCTGTAAGGAAATTTTATTCCTATGTAGTACTTACTGGGCCAGAACTGTATTGACATCAAGCTGCTGACCTTCAGTGTATGACTCCCTATACAGTTGCTCCTACGACATTTTTATATCAAGCCATACTCATACTTACAACTGCCAAATACACGGTAAATGCTATGCCCGAGATATATATTTCGTGCAGTGTCGTGGTTCATACCGTGAAAGACGGAAGAACTCACACAGACCTTAAAACGGCCCTGATACACTCTCATCTGCATGTCTTCTATTCTTAAATTCCATTGGCATTCATCGCCGTTCTCGTTTTGGTGATCCTTTGTTTCGTGCGGGTTGCCTCCAGAGCAACAGAAAAGGGTTGAGTCGCCGCTGAGAAAGGCAATCCCCGAACGGAAAGGGTGGGTGATTCTTTCACGCCTTTTTATAGGTTGGGATCTAGTGGGAGGTGTAGAATTAGATCACCAAGAACACTTGATAGACAGATTTTACAAGGGTATATTGTTATCTACAGTACCCCATGGGAACAGTCAAGAGTAACTGGGTTATAGGATACTAGTATGGTATTCTGATGTGATGAGATCACAGAATTTCAGGAATGAAACAGATTAAATCCTTGATAATTTACGACTGTGAACCGAGTTGGCCGCAATGGGCAATTCGCATGTTCCAGAACCCGCTGTCATAACATCATCCAGAGCTGGTCAGATAACCACTTGAAAATCACTGGATAAATAATTTGATAAGTTAAGGGCAGAGGAGAAAGCGAAGTCACCGGATATTAAAAAGAAAAGCTATGCACGAAGCATTTACCGGAGCGTATGCACAAAAGATGCGATCGAGTAGACGAGAACCCGCGCATTTGCCGCAGTTAAACGATTGTTAAACGCCACCATATAGCTCCGAACCAGTTCAGAGAGATAGTAGAGATGATGTATGACTTCTTTGGAGTGCTAGGGACAGATTTCGCCGAAATCAAGAACACAGGTATACCCTGAGCCATGTGCGTTATTGTATCTGGAGTTTCGCAACGCAGGACTGTACGTTATGTTGCCGTCGCGGAAGCTAAGCCAGAGGCGAGAAAGGATTTCAGTGTCACAGAGTTTTAGCACAAGATGCGCAGTAATTCCTTGGAGATAGAGGTGCCCGAAGAGCCGGCAAACGCTCACTTCGCGCACGCATCGGTATGACTTACCGAAGGACAATATCTATTACCTCAGGTGTAGCTTGGCCCAAGAGTTGCCGTGAGATTGGGCCACAAAGCGGGATTTGCAAGCCGCGCACATAGAATCCTACTGCCGTCTCACCTCCGAGGGTAGATGCTATACAAAAGGCGAATACACCGGGTAATAGCTTGTTACTAGACGCCTATCCGAAGTATGCATGTTAAATATGTAGGTGTTAGGTGCATGCGGCATGCGGACTTACGAAACACCTCTTGCTGGGGATAAGTTGACGGCTGGTGCAATACTCAACATGATAGAAGCAATGAATAAAATTTTCCTTTTGCCCTGTCGCGTGCCTACTGTCAGTGCGACATCCACTGCGGAACAAACTCACGAGAATTTGTCCTTGTACTAATGGAGTTCCATACCAGTCTTCCATTCGGATTTCTCTATGGGACCAAAGCAAGTTGAAGGCGAGGACAGGCGGTGCTAGCGTAGCTTTCGGTTCGTAGGAGTCGTTACACGTTGAAGGTTACCGGGAGATTAGTCTTGCCTTACAATTATTGAAGGGGTAGCGGAGCCGCCATGATCACCTCTGGTGGTCTATCCATTCTGAGCCTGCAGTGCATGCACGTCGCCGCACTTCCAAAGTAGTATATCCGATTCATCGGGGGAATAGCCACAATTAAGAGCAATAGTAACAGGAGTCCGCATGCATGACCATATGGGAGCTTTCAAGCAGTATTCACCAAGAGAAATAGGATCCGGTGCAGGCACATCTCCAGGCCTTCTGTTTGAGCGAGACGGGTACCTCGTTCCCGCGAACAGCTGAGATCAGGGCATCCGAGGGAGAGAAATTTCCAGGGCAATGGAAAGATGGCAACCCTTTCTCCAGAAATCCGGGAAAGGGGCTCAGTTGAGCAGAGTACAATATACTGTTCTTATTCATTGTATCGTAGCGGATTTGCATACGATGACTGGGGGTTAAAATCAGTCATCGAGCGGGATGTCTGCCAAGGACTTCCAGGGTTGTGAAGGTAGGTAAGGGGAGATGCACGTGCAAAAATCAATAGTATTTCATGTAAGCTTGTCCACGCCGGACGTGATAGTCGAGGTCACTGATGCAATTGCCGTCACTAGCGTGGGTGCTTCGGTGACACTTCGCCTGTCAAAGCGAATGTAAGGATGAACCGAGTCCCTTCGCCGATTTCTATAGTGAGTAAAATGTCATAATATCAAGTTTTGTATCAAGTTTTACTAGTTTGTAGAGAATGAGGAATGAGAGCAGGTTGTCTTACAATAAGCTCGACCAGACAGGCTCAACAGACATGTCTAATTGCTCACCGGGACGAAATTACTCCATGAACCAGTCCGTACGAATCGGCCTGTAACTGTACGCCTGTATGACTTTCCAGGAGACTTGAAGAGCGCTTCGTACATTCATGCCGTGAGAAGGGATTCCCTGGGTTTATTCTACACGCATGCCAAAGAAAAATTGTCCAGGAGAAAATGACACCAATTAAAGAGTCGTCCCTAAAGACCCGAGGGACGTTACTTTTTCATACTACCTTTGAATCGAGAAGTATCGATGCGTGTAGACTGCGTAACTTTGCGAATATTTTGGAGATGACAAGGAGCTATAGACGGTAGAGAGACCTGGTCAAAAATTGTTACCATCTTACTAGACTCCTACTCCAAAATTGCTCAGTGCTCACCACGTCAGATGGGCTTATCTAAGCTTTGATGTCGTCAATCAGATATGATGTGATTACGTATCTCGATTCAAACCCAGACTCAACTAATAACCAGATATGGATTCTACACGTTGTTTTCCACCACCACACCAGAATGCCACCTTCTCTCATAAGTGCGGGAAGAGTCTCTGGTCGATTTAGCGTTAATCATCTCGGACCCCGTCTACTTTGCCATCCAATTGGGTTACTAAACGATGTGACCAGATTCATCTTATGGGTCGTCCAGGTTCAATGTGAAGTACTCTTAGTATTCTTGCTCCTTGTTCATATGTTGACTTTGCTGTCATCATTAAATGTCTCCTCTAAACAGCCACGTGATTGATGCCCTAGCATACCTGATTTCTCTCTTTTTGAAATCTCGTGGGAGAAAGCGGAGATGAAAGTCGACACCATGGACCCAGAAACTGAATTCATGCAAGGTTTGCAACGTATTTTTTAGTTCTTCCGCTCCACAGGCGCGGCATCTCCTGGGCTTCTCGATAAAAGTGTCTCACACACTTCGATTGCGGGTGCATTCACAAGCCGAACTCGTCCTGCTGTATTGTCAAGGGTGGTCCGATCTCATCGTAGTGTTTCGACGAATCTGGACTTGGAGCACATTGAGAGCAGTGGCGGACGTACTGCTTCTTAGACGTACTAAAGGTAAACGGACCCGCTTCTACGCGCATTTTAGTAGGTCGCGATTTACACGAGTCTCTGATCTTCGCGGTTGCAGAGCTTTTTTTTTACTGGTCTGTGGGCGTACCTAACCTTCTAGTGTCTCTGTCTTCTCTTTTATCTATTAAGGTTCAAAGAAGTTGAAATGGACTGCGTCGTGAACGCCGCCTATCGTAAAGCATCCCGATGTACTACAGAAGCATACTGCTCATTTCTCAGTTCTTATTTCATTTGTCCGAGGCCTTGGCCCATGGCTAAGAGCTTCGAACAATTCGAGTGTTCCTTGTGAAATAAAGGAAAAATAATAACACTGTCCCGTAATCATGACTTGAGTGATGATTCCAGTTATCCATCATACTGTACTGAGATACGTATTTACAAGTTTAGATACATTAACTTCTAACCGTCCTCGAACACGCGGTGTAAAGGTCTCTGATTGTTCTGGGAACACGGATGAACTATACATGCACTACTGACCACCGCTCATTCCCGCAAGTTACGTCCTCTTCGAAGCCTCGACAAAAGGAGGTGTGGTATTAGCACAGTGACGGGCCTGACTTGCATTGGCCCTCGGAGAACCAGTTTAAATGTGGAAACGCGAGCTGCATGGCTGCCATCGAATCTAGAACATCTGCCGAAGGTGCAGAAGGATGTGCAAAGTACAAAGCCTGGTCGATTCCTCCTATTGGGGTTACAGGGGATTGCGAGCCTTCTGTGGCGCCAGATGGATCCATGGTAAAGGCGAAATTGGCCATGTAGAGCAAAGGAAGCCAGAGTAAAGTACCGTATGGTGGAGTTTGAGCAGGTCGATTCGGATAGTACGCATCGCCATCACGGACGAAGGTCAAAGATAGTTTCAGGAGCCATGGATCCGCGTTTGCGTTGGAAGGCGAAAGGAAAGGTGGATTCCCATGTTGGAGTGGTCGAGGAGGTGGCGTCGCGTCCGGTGCGTAATAGAACGACGATGGAGGTGATTGTGCCCCGAGCAAGTTTGGCAGTTGATTGAGTCGTTTGGCCAGTCGTCGAGTTGTCAAACAATCATTACCGATGAGAATGCATAGTTCGTAAAATCCATCAGAATTTTTTCGTTAATCGTTTAACAATCGGTTCAGTGACGTGGAGAAGTGAAACGGGGAACAATGGAGCCATGTGCGTTGTCCGAGGGTTATCAACAAAGGCGCGGAGGAACATAGTCGTGGAGAAGAAGTAAAACGGAGTCGACGGTCAGCCGTGCGTAAAGAACTGAGGAAAAAGGAATTACACACCTGAACCAGATGCAAGTCCATGTAATTCATTAGTGATCAATTCGAGATCTGACTGAGATTCCAGGGGAAGGTCGAGCCCTAAGGGAGATCCGGATGCAGAGACAGGAGCAGAAGAGGTTGTCTGAGACCAGCTGGCGACATGGTTTAGAACTGCGAATAAGCAAAGGAACAGTGTTAACTGTATTTTATATAGAGCTGCGGAGGTAAATTGGAGACAAGAAGTCCAAGGCTTGGCCGCTCTTCGCATTGCGCGGCACCTGCCATGGCCCTCGAATTGATCCGATGAATGGCATCACTTACGCATCTTTCCACAGCTCACGTCTTTCAGCTGTTGTAAGCGGCTGCCTACTTGCTTTGGGCTACGTCGAATCCCCGTAACAGAGAATATGTAGTCAGAGATGAAGCGATTTCGTTTCGGAAATCGCCCTAAGGCACGGGTATATCGTGCATCATTCGGTTTATATTGTAGAAGAGCTGTTTGGTGACATTGGAGATAGGACGTGGGACACATGTTGGCAACACAATATGCGGCGTGGAAAAAGTATTTGGTAAAAATTAACGTCAGTACGCATTCAACTGGCATCATATCGAGAAGATAGACACACCCTGTATGAGGACTCTTTCAAGGTGAGGTGGCCATACAACTTCAGAGCGGCCCTTGACGGTCTTCCAGCTCTTTCGAGCACGTACAATTGTCTCGGCGACGACTGCCTCGTTCTCCGTGGGGCCTTCCAATTGTCCTTGCCCACTTGTCCCTGTCCCGTCTATTGAGCGCAGGGAGTTAACGAAGACAGGGTCAGGTACGAGCCCAGCACTGGGAGATTGAGTCCGGTTTTGGACGTGCCCAAAGCTGTGTTGATCGCTGCGAACATGTTGACTATCATGAGCATTCTGAGCATGCTGGCTTTGCTGGTACATATCAGACTGGCTTGCAGCCGAAGTGCCCATGCTGCAGGCTAATGCGAAATGGCTTTGCATAGCAGCAGATTGTGGAGTGGGCTGGTGAAGAATATTCGGGTAGGTAGGATATGAGTTCATTATGATAGATCGTAGCTAATGTGTTCTGTCGAGAGTCGCAAGAGGATGAAGGAGAGCTGAGGTTCAGCAATGCTCAGTATATGAGCCAAGCCTTTGATAGTGGGTTGCAAAGGAACAACGGAAGAAGGGTAGACGAGGAATTCGATCAGCGGGGAACGGATAGCATTATAAACACGGCCAGGCGGCTACAGCAGCTTTAAACGCTCTCCAAATGAATCTCATAATATCGCGGACCACTTCCTTGGGTCTTCTTCTTCGCGCATTCAGACGCTGTGTTGAAAAGGTGTAAAGATGACGGCATATCCGTCGGCGGTGTCAGAAAGAGGATGAAGTTGGAAACGCGGGTATGATTACATGAGTAAATGAGATCGGGTCGGACAGGTTGAGAAGCGAAGAAGAAAGCGAAGTGAGATTTTATTAACAAAGGCAGCTCAGGGACTGAATTAACAATATGTGTCTGGTTAGCATGAGATTCTTGCCACGTACCTGTACTGCTTTGATCGTGGCATCAATCTGCTGTTCGGTTGTTCGGAACTGAACTGCAGCTGGACGAACGTTGTAACGCCATCAGCATGGCGGATAAAAATATAATGTGATCAATAAGATTCGGATTGGAATAGCTCAAACACCTACCGTACTAGACAAAGTTTAGGATCATCAGACTCCGTGAGTGATAGACATCCTTTATCCAGCCATAGCACTCCCTCCGTGTCCATACAGATTCCGCGCTTAGCATATGCAGATAATGTGAACGGACGTGGCCGCCGAGCTCGGTGTCCGACTACATCGCTAGACGCGCATCGGTCGCCATAAGGTGCCGTGTTCCGCCTCGCGTGCAACGGCTTTAGCGCAGTGAAGATTTCTTCACCACAGACATTTGATCAATTGCTTACGGTCCGGACTGGATAGACGCCCATCAAACAGGTGTTTGTGTCTCCCGAGTTTTAGACTGAGTTATTTATCATCGTTCTTCTTATCTTCTTTTGAAAAAGTGGCTGTATTCGAATCTTTTGTCTTTTGGCTTTCGCGTTTCGTGGGGTGATACTCCGTGGACAACGGCGCGATGAATCGTCTGGAACACATGGATGCATGTGTGCTGCGCAGGCGTGTCTTTCTGTCGGACGTAAGGCTGGGTAACGATGAGACAACCTCAGGATAATCACGACACAAGGCCACACAACAGAGGAGAGAATTTACCCGAAAAAAGGCCAAGAAGGCACAAGAAGGTGGGACAGCACCAGACACAGATACACGCTAAGTGCGAAGTGCGTCAAGAGCCGTTATTGGTTCCGAGATCGACGCGGTCGCCTGCTTGCAGTGCTTCCGTCAGCCACCGACAGGCTCGAAGTAATCTCTCCTCTCGACTTCCATCTGCTCCGCTCACCACTTGCTTCATATTCTGTTGTTTCCTTTCAAATTCATGCCTTCCTTGACCACCCTATCCGAATCTAGCACTTGCTTTCAGGTCTGTACACATGGCTGGGTGGGAATGTCACTGCGCATTCACGCTTGGGAAGTCTGCTTCGGCACGGTGTAGCCGATACAACATGAGCTCAGATGATCATGGACGGAGCATTCGTCTCGTTGCTTAGTTTCATAGTATACTTCTTGGATGAGATCTGGACTTTGGAGGCTGCATGCCTTCTTGCACAACAATCATCAAATCGGGAAGCTTTGCACTTTTAGAACGGCGCTTAGAAAGTATAATCTTCTTCGGCGCTTACAGAAATTAGTGACAGCTGTAATACCATCAGCGAATCACCGGGACACTCGGAATTTACCCTGAGTGTGATAGGAAATCAACAATCGAGGCGCTTAGCGACCGGGAACAATGCTGCAAAGCTATGGCAGATCGACCGAAATGAGGCGAGTCTGTTAAGTAGAACTTAGAAATGAGAGGGGGATGGGACCTCGTTACGCCGTTCGCATGAGTCCTTCGTCACCGCAAGCTGAATGCCCTCGCGAAGGCCGCCCCACACTGTCCGGAACCCAAAGCGATACAGTACATGTGCCAGGCACACTCCCTGTGAAGAGCAACCGCCGCCGTCATCGCCTTGTCTCTGTGGGTGCGTGGATAAATTTACATCGATATACATAACTACCCAACTCCGTACAACCGTGTATTGAGGTGTACTCCCCCGAGGATCTCGGAAATGTCGCTCATGACTGTGAGTGTTCAATAGTATCAATGAGTGAATTTTTGGTTCAGAGGTGTAAAGCAAACAGCACACTTTAACGCCCACTATTTTCCTTCAGGCCAGTCGTGTCCATACGATTGTCCATCGGTGCCTTGGTCGAAGCAAAGTAAGTTCACGCAGTTCAAATTGATGCTGCCTAGAAATTGAAAATGTCATCGGTATTCTAGACAAAGTAAATTTGAGAGATGGAAATCAACGATATAGGACATGTCGCTGTGGAAACTCATGCCGAACAGACCTAAGCTCGTCATGCGACATTGTCTTTCATCACGGCTGTTACAGCGTGGATCACTTCCCGCAACTGTACATTGCACCTACTCACACAATTGGCTCCAGGTGGTCTGAGAGCATATGCCAATATTCTATTGGTCATCCAAAATCAAAGTATCTGATAAATTCCAGTTGAAAATGAACGATCCTCCAACATTGCGTTTTATTGGCTCCTTCTTTGGCAGACTTTCGACGATCCATATGCCCAGCTGACTGCATTTTGCAACCATGAAAAGGGAAGCATTGAGGGGTTCGTGTCAAGGGGCAATATTTGGGTTCGAAAAATAACACTGCTCGTCGGATGTCGTCGGTGGAACCGATAAGACAATTCACCTGCAGACACACGAATGATCCACTCATATGTGAATGCGGAATCTCGTCTCACGATCCTTTGCGCATGCCGAATACAACGTGCCAGATACTCAGCCTTCGCGATGCATGGCACGTTAATGACAATGCACATAGGGTCGAAATTGGCTAGTCAAGAGTGCCTCGGAAACATCATCCTGCGCATCGCAAGAAGTTCGCGCTGTTGGTCGCAATGATAAGACCTCGATACTTGCTTCTTGTGCATTTGCTTTACCACCCGGTAGACACGTGCATATATCACTGGGACATTTCTCGGACGAAGAACGGGTATTCGGTAACGATATTGTCATGTTTACTGACATAGTATGTCTGGCGCCTGGAACTCGTGGAGCGGTTGCCGAACGTTCTGTATACGCGCAAACATCGCGCAATTCTGACGGATAAGGCGACTCTTGGATTTGTAACAAGGGTACACCGGCAATCTGAGACGATAATCGTGAACACTTCGCATTGCGAACGCACTCAGATCATGCCTACGCATACGGTCCTCTACTGCCTACTTCTTCCGAGATCCAAGGAACTTGGCTCCTGACTAGTCAGTCGAGGACATCGTCTGCATGTGCAAATAACACAAGGGGTAATCAAACTGCACCGATGGACACACGATGGCACGCGCGTTCACGGCGAAGGTCAGTATAATCATTGCTATTTCTGAACGGCAATACAAGTACCTCGCCCTCAAACTGCTTCTCCATTGAACGGTTTGCATCCTATCTGACTACAAAGACACTCAAAGAACGCTGATCACAAAACGCCGGAGCGGTGAATGGTTCTTGTGGGCATAGCCCAGGTCATGGGCAAAGAATCTTTTCAAAATGCGTTTAAACGCCGGTCCTTGAACTCCGAGGGACGTAGTTCTAGGATTTTGGTGTTGTATCATCTATCGTTGAAGTCCATCTCTGGCACTGGTGATCTCGAATCCCGTGATGCCATATGTTCTGATATCCAAAACCAGTGCATTTCTTCACATCTTTTTGAGTACCGCGGAGCCGTTTAAAGACTGACGAAAGTTCAAAGAAGCCTCTTTACAGTTCCTTCTGTACTCCTGTAACTGGGGTTCCGTTCGATGATCACCTGCACATAGTTAATTGGTATCGGGCGCAGCTAGCCGGCGGCCCTCCGGTCCTCGCACTGCACAGCGATGTCACGCACCTCTTCATTAGCGTTGACCGCCGGGATGTAGAGTGCCGATACCTCAGGAACACAAGGAATCCAAACGTGGCCGATAATTCAGTTGGCACGTTGTGATCTGTCTAATTATTATCAGATTTCTGGATATGGTGATTCAGTATTGCTTCGGCTGTGAGTTCAATGCGCTCCGACGATAGGTCCCGGATCTCCGACATACTCCTTTATTGGATGTGTTATCCCAATCTGTCTCCTTCTATACTTTCATGGCCATTTCAAATATCTTGATGACGGCGATATTCTTCGCCTTTCTTAGACGGTTGGAATTGTTTATTCGTGAATACCGTCCATTGTACATGCGTTGTACAATCTTCACACATATCATGTCCCCTATTTTTGTAATGGAGTGTTTACCTATTATAACTTCAGCTTCCACAAAGCGCGATCTCAGGACAATATACTAACTCCACTTGCCCAGTTCTCGTTCTGGACAATAATGCTACTGCTGTTTCTTAACAGTATAACTACAGTTATACCTTCTTACAGATACCGAGTTTTTCGGAGTAATGGTCGTCGGTATGTATCGTCCTTCCTCTCTCTTCGTGCGCAGGCATTTTGTCGTACGGTTTCTGCTGTTGGAGTTTTCCGGATTGTTAACGGATGAGCTGAGTTCACCGTTTGGGAACTCGCGTTTAAGAACTCACCGCGGCTATAGTGTTATAATATACAGATGTATTTGAATAAGGTATGGTAACTAACAGCGAACGGAGGCTGGTCATGACAATGCATTAGGAACAGTGACGTTGAATATAAATAATAATGGCTCAGGAACGGCACCACTATCTACTTGGAGATGCTGGGCATTGAATACGTTTCGCTGCCGAGAAATGTGTGGCCCGGAGAGTGTGTTACAGCTTCTAATACAAGTGCTGCATTACTTTCTAATATAGATTGCCAAGGCATTGTATTAAATAATCGTTTGTTATACGGTTCGAAAACACTAGAACTCAGGTCTGCAAGTCCTCGTGGGGGTTCACTATCATCCTTCGTAGGGTCTCTGGGCTCCAATACCATTTCCATAGCCCGAGGGAATGAGGGCACTTTGCGGTTTTCACCTTCAGTTCTATCCTAGCGATATTTGCAAAAATAACTCGTATCAAGCTGAACAAAGCATTTAGGTTCAGAAATGTCTCCCCGCAGTACTCAAAAATAGCCGTTTGAGGGACCTCCGGGACCCGTGAATTGCGAGATTGACACACTTGATACTTTCTTTATTCCCCGTTCAGATCCAATAATATCTGCATTGTGAGCTACGAGACATTCTAAACTAATGAGGACCACTCGCTGCGAGCGTTCTTTCGGGCACCATTTCCGACGGACACTGGTGGGAGGCGAAAACCTACGTCGTAAACAGTTAATGCGTACACCACAGTGTCTTTGATTTATACAATAACAATATTGAATAGTTCAGGGAAGAAGAGTACATCTGCACTCATCATGATTGTGAGTACCAGTCGCATTTGTTAAAATGCACCCGTTCAACAGTATTATATTGTTGTCAATACTCTGTCGATCTCGTCTCGTTTCGTGAGATGTCTTGGTGCTTGTTACGATCGGATATGACCCGAATGCATCATATACACATCTGTGCACAGTCTAAAAGCCGTTGTTACTAAATCGTGTCGTAAAAGAAGTTGGTTTTCTCGACCTTGTTCCAGTTGAATTTCAGTTGCATATTTGGGGGCCGAAGTAGAGTTAGCCTGAGTAAGCATACCGAATAGAAGTTATTTTACTTGTATATCGCCTCGGTTTTGTGAACGACCATCAGTTGTCGGCGGAGAGATGAAAGATGAAACGTACAACAAAAAGAAGCCTTAGTGAAAATTGTTGTGTGCACGGTTTTGGAAATCGCCTGTAATTCTTCTTGATCGTGGTCGTTTGGTTTAGTAACTTGCTGAGGATACCATCTTTTCTTGCAACTAAGACGCGTAGAGCAATGAAATTCAGGGTGGACCATGGTGACGGCGCGCGTGAAGACGAATATACTTAGGCTAAGAGAGCCATGCGAAGACTGGAAAATTGTAGTCTCTCGTCATCCTGGCTCTAATGGCTTCCCGAGGCTGCGCTGATGCGTGGGACGCAGTAGACGGAAAGACGAATATTATTGATACGAACGGCATTCTATATTGGGATCCCACGAACGAGTGTTCCGCTTGTGCGTTATCGTCGTCGAAGTGGCAATTGGTGTCGAAATCAGCAATTCAGGAGGTCCGACTACGTCTTCTTTCGTTTCCTCTGAGTAGACAGTAAAGGTATTAAAGCATGTGTGAGCAAGAAGCTTCCGTAGTGCCGCCTTCGAGACAGTCGTTCAAACAACACGAACATGGTATATTTTGCTACGAAGAGTTGAGAGCTGCTGCTCTTCAGGTCATACGCGACCCATGGTCACGGTCCTCCTTTACCAAGATAGCGTTTCAAGCACAATGCGTCTTGGTTAAATGCACCTTCACCGGCTGCTTGGGCCTAACAATATCGTAATGGCAGATGCAAAGCAGTTCTAGCAGGAGGAGTGTCCATCTCCCAGCAAAGTAAATAAAGTCACGTGACAATCTTGAACACTTTGTACTCACATGGGGCATTTCA